ATCTTTTTCTTATATATAACCCTAATTTTTCTTTCACCTTTGATATGTTGAATGCCTTTGATACTCGACTTTAGTTGACTGGAATCTGCATGTTCAATCAGGCCTTTGAGGTTTGACACAGAATTTGTGCATACTCCTCCATTGTGTCCCAAACATCCATGCTGGAGAAGCGGTTCAGCTCTCCTGCTCCTCTCCCTGCAGGACTTAAAGGCATTCACAGGTCTGGCAATATGGGAAGAGGGCTGCCCAAGCTTGAACAAGCGTTAATGATTTCCTTGGGTGAAAAGCTATTGGAAAATATGCCTGAAAATAAGGATTTTCTTTGACAACACTTAAAACCTTTTAGCCAAAGCTTATTTTCATATAATGATTTCTAGACGTCATTAAACAAGCTACCTGGCAACTTGCAGACTAATTTTGAGCTCAATTTGATTCTGTTCTGGGGAAATTGTTCTGTGCTCCCTCACCATTGGATGCATATCCTCTCATGAAATACAGTTTGTTCTATCCTGCTTTGTATGCACAGGAATATGTTTCAGTCTGTTATGATGTATTATTTTTAATGTAAAGTGAATGAACATTAGGCTCTATTAGCAAAGAATAGATTAGGGAAAGAAAAGTAGTGGAATCTGTGGTGCCTTCTGGGCTGTGAGGATTTTTGTGGCTTTGGTCCTTGCCAAAGCACAATTCCTATGCAGTTTGCCCTGGTAATAGCAAGTCTCTTTGTTCCTGAAGAAGGAAATTGATGGTTCTCTCTGTTCTGGAGCACTTAGGTGGTGTTAATAACCCTGTGCTGTGGTAGCTGAGTATGTGTTCAGTACGGGGCAGGATCTGAACTTGATTGGGTGTTCTGTGACAGCTGCAGCCTGGCTGGAATTACAGTTTTCACATGATTTAATAGTAGACCTCTACCCCTAATGTTTGTGTCTATGACCCAGACCTGTTACTGGTACTGACGGGTCTGTTACTTCAGCCCTGTAAGATCAGGAGAGGTCTTTGAGGGACTTGGGTCAGAGACCTTTAAGTGCCCGGAGCAGGGACAAGCCCTGTGTTGCACACTTTGCAGAGCACCAGCCACATTCCTGATTGGCTTGTGCTGAAACTTTTCCTGCCTGGAGCCGGAGCCTTTGGCTGCAGTGCTGGGAAACGAGCCCGTCTCTGGTGCAGATGTCACTACTTCTTTGTTTGTCATGATTCCGTATTTATACACAGCACGTTTCGTTAGGATTTGGAAACAGCTTGGTATTTTTGTTCTCTAATTTGCTATTTTGCCTACTAGAAAGAGTCTACATCAGCATTTTGGACCACGTTCAGGCCTGCTGTAAATAGATGCAGCTTCCTTTCAATCAGTGACATTGTGAACACTTGTATTGGGGCTAAATGTGGCTATTTTTAGCTCTGCTCTCTCACCTAGTCACTCCTGTTTGCTTTAATAAGATTTTTATTTACTTCTGTTAACAGGTTATTTGAATCAGATACTCATAAAATTCCAGCTGGAACTAGATAAGTCATTTTCTCCAAGTGTTTTATGATGGAGTTCCTCATTATTATTTTATTTTGTTTATTATTCCATGCTCTCAGCTAATTGGTATTCTGGTGGAGATGGAGAGGTGGTGTTGTGGATGCAGGCGACCTTTAGACTGCTGGAGGAGGCAGATGCAGTGCTGGCTCTCCTGGCTGCTGTCCTGGGGGATGTTGGCAGAGCCATTCCCAGCTGACAGGGGCTCCATGCCTGCCCATCCTGCTGACCAGGCAATCCTGCTGCCATGGCACTGGGAGCAGGGCAGGAAAATGCCAGGGAACTGTGAATTGAGAAGGTAGCTTTAATCCCAGCCAGTGGCCCTGGTGAGGCCACATCTGCAGTGTTGGATTCAGTTCTGGTCTCCACAGTTTAAGAAAGACAAGGAGCTGCTAGAGAGTGTCCAGTGGAGACCATGAAAATGATTTGGAATCTGGAGCATCTCCCTTATGAGGAGAGACTGTGGGAGCTGGGACTGGTTAGTCTGGAGGAGACTGAGAGGGGATCCCATCAATCCATAGAAATATCTCCAAGGGGTGTGAGGATGGTGCCAGACTCTGTTCAGTGGTGCCAATGACAGGACAAGGAGCAATGGCCATAAACTAAAACAAGAAATTCCACCCCAACCTGAGGAAGAACTACTGTCCATGGAGGGTGGCAGAGCTCTGGAACAGCTGCCCAGGGAGGCTATGGAGTCTCCTCTCTGGAGACATTCCAAACCCACCTGGACACATTCCTGTGTTGCCTGCTCCAGGTGTCCCTGCCTTGGCAGGGGGGTTGGACTGAATGATCTCCAGAGGTCCCTTCCAACTCCAACAATTCTGGGATTCTCTGAAAGGGCAGTGTTTCTTTATTAAAACTGTAAGAATAGGGCTCTACATTGGGGATTTTATTTATTTTTGTAAAAGGCTCTGCTAGCAAACAGGTGGCTTTAAATAAGCTTGTGAAAAGGACCTCATCTGGTTAGAGATCAGCTCTGGGAATACCTGGTTACAGATGAGGTGTCTCACCTGGATCTGCTCTCTTCACCCCCTTCCCTACCTGCTCGTGAGCATCTGCTGAAGACTGAGCTGCAAGCCTCAAGAGTGGCCTTTACCCCTCCTTTAAAGACATTTTACCTGGTAATTAGTCTTAGTGCAATTTGTGGCATTTGGCAAATTTAGCCTAAGATTTTCTGTACCAAGATAATGGGAAAAATAGTTGTCCAGAGGCTGGGAAGGAGGAGGCTGGGAGCTGGGTGCTACCTTGCACTGTGTATGTATTATTGATATCATCCATCACTTTGTTACCAGAGAAAGCTTTGAAAAAATATTTTTCTTTTCCCTTAACAACCAGTGATCTGGTTGTTGCAGAAATTATATAGTTATAGCAGAAGGAATCTTTAAAGCCAAAGCTGTCAGCATCTTTATTTCATAAATAATTGCTGGTTCTTTTTAGCTGTTACTTAACGCTATCATTTTATTAATTCCTGCTTTCTGTTCCTGGGCTTATTTTTCTGTGTGTCGTTAACTGTGCTTATTGTGCTCTTCGTCAGTTCTCCCTGAACTTCTTAAAACTCCTGTCACTTAGTCAATGCTGCATCTGTCACTTCGTTTTGCCATTATCCGAGAGCTGCAGTTTCTGGCTGATCATTTTTCACTCAATCCAAGAGCAGCAGTAAAGGAGATTTCCTTTGTGCTGCAAGGGAAGTGCAGGATCTGTTGACAGAATGGGAGGTCGAAACAGAAACAATTCCAGTCCGGAGAACATTAAGCTCTAATCGGATTTGTTTGAATCATAGAATGGTTTGGGTGGGAAGGGACCTGAAAGCTCATTTAGCTCAACCCCCTGCCACGGGCAGGGATACCTTCCACTAGCCCAGGTTGCTCCAAGCCCTGTCCAACCTGGCCTTGGACACTTCCAGGGATGGGGCAGCCACAGCTTCTCTGGGCACCCTGTGCCAGGGCCTCAGCACCCTCACAGGGAAGAATTTCTTCCCTGTATCTCACCTAAATTTCCCCCCTTTCAGTCTGAAACCTTGTCCTGTCAGTCCAGTTCCTGATGCAGAGTACCTCTCCAACTTCCTCGTAGACCCCGTCTGATACTGAAAGGTGCTGTGACATCTCCACACATCCTTCTCTTCTCCAGGCTGAACATTCCCAGTTCTCTCAGCCTGTAAATTTTGGGAATATCTGCTTTTTTACATGGCACTGCAGTGCCAAAGGGCCCCAGGGAGGAGCAGAGTGTATCCCACGGCAGCATAAGCCTCCGATTGTTCCCCGTGCCCTGGGCTTGGGAACCTTTTCTTTCTCTGCCATAATTAAATTAAAAAAGTTTGGAAAATACTAAGCAGGGCTGGAATGTTTGGCGTGGCATTGTTGGAAATGTGTGTTGGTATATTTTCACACTCCTCCCACAGTTGTCTTTGTGGTTTGTTGTTGTGTTTTTTTTGTTGTTTGTGGGTTTTTTTGGTCCCCAGCCAGGAGCTGGGACCACGCCAGGGATTTTTCTTTCAGTGCATTCAGTGCTGTCTGTGCCACTCTTCAGTCTCTTAATTACCCGGCTGCAATCTTCTTTGGTTCATTGTCCAAGGAAAGTTCAGTCCATTCAGCAGGATTCTGCTCCGTGCCGCCGCTGGTTCCATCATGTGTGAAATAAGGAATTTGTTTCAGGTCCCTAAGTGGCACGTTTTGTCCTCAAAACCAGGTCCATGCCACGCAGGCTGGCAAGGAGGGGTGTGCTCAGTGGAGGGGCATGGTCTGGATGAGGAGATGGGCGACTTTGGGTGGATTTGGTGGGTTTTGGCAGTGATGGGGACGTTTCACCCAGTTCTCAGCCCACCCCTATGACACAGATCCCTGTGTGAAGTACCAGGGTAGCAGGTGCCAGCTCAGAGGCATGGAAAGATGGTGCTTCCATGGGATGAAGGTTGTGACTGCATTAAAATGCTCATAATGGAAGATCCTCATCATCTGGCTGCTGGGGTCAGGCTCTAAATTACTTGCAAAGGAATTGTAAAAACTCTGGTGTAATTTATTGTGCAATAAAACCCCATTAGAGGTAACATGAACTGGTAATTCTGAAATGGGAATGCAAAAGAGGCTGTGTTTTATCAATAAAATTTAGGTAAATCTATTCCAGAAAACCCCAAACATGAATAATGTCTTGTTTTCAGTGGGGGGAAAAAAAAAAGGAAGAAAATGTGGTCTGTGAAGAGGAATGGGATATTTTGGTGCGTTATGGAAGTGCCTCATAAAATCCTCAGCAGGATTTCAGGAGTGGGAATGGGCTTAATACACCTGTGGGAGGTGAGGGAGGCTTGGGATCCCTTTGTGATGGGAATGAAGAGCTGCCTGGTAATCAACATCCTAAACCTTGGCAAGTGGGGATGCTCACACAGGTATTTACAGCCCATGATGGTACCTGGGTGGTTTTGTGTGCCTTTTTACAAGTCATCATCGTAATGAGACAGTTTTTCTGATCTTTCTGTTTTTCTTTCCAGGATTTTTGCTCTTTAAAGACTATTGCATGAATGAGATTGATGAAGCTGTCCCCCAGCTGAAGTTTTATGAAGAGGTGAGTGGCCAGTGAGGGAGGTTTGGGGCTCTGCAGGGAGAAAGGCTGAGGAAGGCTGTCCTGCTCCTCCTCGGGCAGGGAATGCTGAGAGGGAAGGAGGGGGTCCATGTGTAGCAGTGTGAATATTTAATCAACTTGCTGATTTGGTATAGGGCTCTTAAAAAGTATTTCAAGTACCATAGATGGGATTTGCCCATTTTTTTTGAGCAGCTGCATGGGCTGGTAGGAAAGGAGCTGGGAGAGTTGTCGGAGTTGGGATGACACTCTCAAACACTTCAGGCCTTTCCCTAACGTCCTTTTACCTGTAGAAAAGCCAACAGAGTGCAGCTGGGGTGTCATGGCATGGTGGGAGGGAGATAGGAAGAAAGCTGCTGCTGGAACAGGCTCCTCAGGGAAGAGGTCACAGCACCAAGCCTGACAGAGTTCCAGAAGCGTTTGGATGATACTCTTGGGGATGGTCCTGTGCAGGGCCAGGAGTTGGACTCGGTGATCTTTGTGGGTCCCTTCCAACTCAGCATATCCTGTGATTCTGTGAGATGTTTTGGGAATTGCTGTGGCAGAGCTGCACAGGGGTAAGAGGATCCTCCAACGGGGTTCACAAGAGGTGGCTTTAGATCCATGAGTTGTACTCCCTTGTCATGAGATACTCAGTGAAGGAGCTGACAGGCACCATGCCCAGGGCACATCCCAAAGGACCAGTAATTCCAAGGAACATGCCGTGTCCTTCCCCAGCCGCCACTGCTGCACGACCTGAGCCCCATCCCTCCATTCATTCACTCCCTGTTCCATTTGTGACACTAAACCCACAGTTAATCCCCTCCCAGGTGCTGGTTTCAGTGCAGACATGCACATGCCTGATTGCTCAGGGTTAATTAGAGCTGCTCCCTGGGATAGCTCTGTCTGCCTTACTCTGAGCTGATCATTTAAATGTTTTTGTGCCAGTGGGCTCCAAGCACAAATGGCTGGGATCAGTTTGCAGATCAGTCCTCAGTGATACACTGTCCCCCACTCAGATCAGATACCTGCTGTCAATAATGGATCTTTTCCTATCATTTCCATCTTTTTATGCACTGACGATGTCACTGTCATAAGTAATCCAAAAAGGCCTGTTGTACCAGATTGTTTAGCAAGATATTTTTAGCTCCCTCTTTATCTCTGAAACAATTCAAAATTATATTTTTAGGTTATTAGCAAAGTGTTGCCTCAAAAGAATTTCAGTGCTTTGTCATGTACTTCTGGAAAAATCCCATTAAGGATATTTAAAGAGAGGCTCATTGTGTTTTCCTCTGTGACATACCGGATCCAGGAGCTTTTCCTTTTTTTATATATATTTGATTTACTTGCTGCATTTATTACACGTAGAATAATTTGAGTGCATTGCTACATTAAAAATTGCTGGATGCAGAAGAGCTCCGTACTCCAGGGATTTCATATCACTGCAGCTGGAGTCACGATCAGGCATTTAACGGGATGAGTGATTCATCCCGATCGGTTTCAAAAGGAAAAGAAAAGGAATTTAAAAAAAAAAAGGGGGAAAGGAAACGGGAAAAAAAAGGAGAAGAAAAAAAAAAAGTGCTTCTAGGTGCTTGAAAACAAATTAATTCTGATTCCAGTTTTTGAGGAGATCCTTTGTCAGCTCCTTTTCCAGAGGAGAGCTGCAGGTTGCCAGGGTATCTGATGACATTCCCTTCTCTCCAGATCAGGAGTGGAAGCTGTGCTGGCAGGGACAGGGTGTGTTAGAAGTGGGACACTCTCAGCTCTTCGTGCTGTGGATTTTTTGTAACGTTGTCTTTAATAAACATGTAAAATTTGCCCCTGACGATGTCAGGGGTGTGTTGGGCATGATCACAGAGAGGTGTCTGATCTCATCACCTGTGTGATGAGCTGTGTCAGGCAGCCTCTGGGGGGATGTTCTCCCAGCCAGGATGGGAGATCACTGGTGAGGACGTTTGTTACCTGCTGTCCCACTCTCCAAACCTTTACAAAACAAAGGGTTTCTTCATTAAGAATCCCACTGTAAGGGGAGGTGGGAAATGGTGACTGGGTCCAACATGGCTGGGGGGCTGCCATGAGAGCCCTCAGCACTGGGTGCAGAGTTGAGAGCTTTAACAACCAAATACTGAGGGGCAGGAGCTTGTGTTCAAGGAAGACAATCAGATATAGATCAGGCTTCCTCCTATACTTCTAATTATTTTGTGTCATTGCATTAATTAAAAGTGTTTCTTGAGCAAAGACATTTTGAATCACTTTAATTATAAGTTGGTATCAAGAGGGAAGAAGCACAGATGGCAAATTGGGGTGGAACTGGGGCCTTATCGTATCAGCAAACAAGAGGAGTACGACCAGGAAGATACTGAGTTTAATTAATGTTCCACCTTCAAAGATGGGTTGGTCCCAGTTTGTCTCTCAATAACTGTACTGGATGATCTTGGATGTCTTTTCCAACCTAAATGTTTGTGGGATTCTGTGGTGTGGAGCAAATCTGCACAAGGACTGTTCGTTTGGATCCCAGAACCTCAGATGGCAATGCTGGGAGCGTCCAGCAAGTCAGAGCTGCGTCCTGTCCCTAAAGATCTTGCATGGTTCTTATGTTCTGTCAGTCCTGGAAGAACTCTTTCCCTAAATATGCTCCAAAGGGCTCTTGGACTTGGTGAACTTTTTGTTCTGGAACTGGTTGTTAGGTTTTGTTCTGTAAATGAACCATGAGAGATTTCTGTTGTTTCACCTGGAACACACTGATCTCCTAGAGCACACCTGAGGAAACTTGATATATTTTGTGAAACTGTGTTTTAGCCACCTTTAGGGTTCAAATTCACCATGTAGCTGAACTATGTGAACATTCTGAAATGTACCTTATATATTCGTTCTTGGACATTGTACCCAGTGTGCTGTGATCATAGAATCAGGGAATTGCTTGGGTTGGAAAAGTCCTCTCAGACCATTGAGTCCAGCTGTTCTCTCAGCACTGCCAAGGCCACCACTGACCGTGTCCCCCAAGTGCCACATCCACATATCTGTTAAATCCCTCCAGGGATGGTGACTCCACCATTCCCTGGGCAGCTGTGCCAGGGCTGGAAAATTCCAAACTAGAAGGGAAGTCTCAAATCAGCTGTAACTGTGGTGTTGCAGGTGGTTTTCCTTTTAAGTGTTAATTAAGAAAATAATAAAGCAAAATAAAGCTTTTTTTTTTTTTTTTTTTTTTTTTTGCCAAATGACTGAAAAATCATTAGAAGTTGTCTGATGCTCCCTGTCCCCTTTCTGCAGATCAAGGAGTACGAGAAGCTGGACTCGGAGGAGGAGCGGCTGTCCCGCAGCCGGCAGATCTACGACACCTACATCATGAAGGAGCTGCTGTCCTGTTCCCACGTGTGTATCCTCCCAGTTCCCCCTGCCCAGGGTACCCTGACAGCAGGGATCATGCGACAGATCTGCTGTTTCACTCACAGTGTTGCTGAAGGAATCGTTACAAATACTTGCAGAGCTCTGGATTTCTGTTTGAAATCTCAGCTCTGGCTTTGGCTGAGTTCAGCTTGTTGCTTTTGTTTTTTTTAATTGCAGTACTGAGGTGTAAAAATTGGCAGGATGGGCCCATTTTTATTGAACTGTTTATTAGTGGTACACAAAGGAAGTATCAGGAGATTTATCTCATTTATATTTCTTCAAAGGAAATCTCTGTTTTAAAATAAGATTAGATGAGTGCCAGGTGTGTGTGTGCCACGTTGTGGCAGATGCAGCTTGGTTAAAGTCACTGAAAATACGCATTTTCTCCAGCTGAAATTTTGGCCCATTGATGTGTCTTTAACAGTTTCATTTACTCTTATTTGAAAGAGGAATTTACAAGGTGGTGTGTCCTGGTGGATTGGTTCCTTGGGTGAAGGGTTTAAGCATTTTTTTCATCAAAACCAGATTATTTTATTAGTAAAAAGTCCATGTCTGCTTCTGGCTCTGGAGCTGTCCCTGTAAATGGGATTTTTTATGGTTTTCTAAAAGGAGCATTATCTCGCCCTCCTCCTCATCTTCCCTTCTCCTGACTTCCTGCTTTAGAATAATTATATTACTGGATCATTCTGCATGTTTCACATCAATATTCACTGTAATATACCTGGGGGAGGCCGTATTGTTTCATTCTGGGGTCGGTGGTTTTCCATATGAGGAAAAGAACAACAGTGCTGTGACCTGAAATGAAACTCCTGACGTCTCCAACTGTTTGAAATCTTTCTTTTTCTCTTCCAAAAGCCCTTCTCAAAACAAGCTGTAGATCATGTGCAAACACATTTAGCCAAGAAACAAGTGCCAGCCAGCCTTTTTCAGGTGAGCTTTCACAGTGTGAATGTTCAGCTTCAGTTCTCTGACAGTAAGTGACTTTGTACATATTATTTTAGGAGACAGAATAAATGGGATTGGTATGTATTCTGAGCTGTACTAGTGGGATTGAAATGCTTTTCTAAGTCAAAATTACAAATTACTCTTCTTATCTATAATATTTTTAAGCACATTTATAAAAGCAAGCTATACCTTGGTATAGGAACAGAGGAGTTTTTATAGTTCTGTAATTTTAAGCCATTAAATGATTTAGAGTAAATCACTTTACATCAGGAAGATGCTCATCCTGTCAGCATAGACTAAACTGGAGAAATTGTCTTATCAGTCATGGGGGTGTTTGTAAGCTTAAATGTCTTTTCTCTAAATCTGATGTATTTTCATATGTTGCAAAAATGTGGAGGTTGCCTCTGCCTGATCTCTCTTGCTGCTTGTGAGCTGCTCTGGCTGTTGCAATGAGGAGAAATGACAAACTGGTACCTGCAGAGCTGGGTGATGTCTCAGCTGGGGGAAAGTAGAGGTCGCTGGGGGCTATCTCACATCCAGGGAAGGGATTTCCCTTGGAAAAGTCACTTGTGAATTGAAGGTACTGGTCTCTTAGCAAGGACAGAGAGGAGAGAAGCACCACAAAGATGAGAGAGCAGCTCTGCGAAGTTCGGTTTCCACAGGGGTGACAGTTTATTGTTTAAATACATTTGAGATGAGAACTTTTGCCCCCCTGCCCCCTCCCAAGGTAAACCTTGAAGGTTTTCCAGCTCATGAAGATATTTTATTTTTGACTTCAGGGCACCTGCTCGGATTCTGGAAGCCAAATAAAGCTTAAATGTTTCATTGAGGCTTCTTAAGGAAAACACAGAATGAGCTGGAGCTCTGTGGGACTGTCAAGAGTTCTGTGTAATGGATGGGATTGCAAAAACCATTTATTGTCTGCTTAAATACTAATTGTGTTTCTTCACCCTTTTTAGCCATATATAGAAGAAATTTGTGATAGTCTCCGAGGAAAAATATTTCAAAAATTTATGGAAAGGTATGAACATGACATATTACCTGAACTGTCATTGTATTATGTGATGTAGTGGGAAGCCAAATCCCTTCAGTACTGCTGTAAGGGGCTCAAAGGTTTAAAAAAGCAGAACTGGGTTCTTGGGGGACGTTCTATGAGTGACCATTTCAGGTGTGGGATTGGAGGCCCAGTTGTTGTGGTTCGTGACTGGGAACCTGAAATTAAGCAGAAAAGGTTTAATAAAGAATTCCAGGCACAGACCTGGTTCAGTAGAGCAGCCCTTCTAACCTGAACAGAGCTACTCCTGTGGACAGGGTCTGGAAAGCTCAGCTCTCACCCAGCAACACCCAAATCCACTCTATAAACTGGTTTGATGCTATTCTGTGATAATTGTAAAAATGCCTCCATAAAACTGTTATTTCTTACTCTGAAAATAAATACTTAATTATTCATGTAGAAATAAGCAGCTTTTTTTTTTTTCAAGAGTCTGTGGTATTACTGATGTTTTTCCTATTTTAAGATAAGATGAGTTTAAAATGTTCCTTGGAGTATATGGAGGTTCATTAACATAAATCGAGCTGCTTCTGTTTTCTTATAATTATCTTTCTCTTGATGTAATTTAAATGTCTGTTAGTTCCAAACGTAGTTGTTTAAAAATTAAAAACCATCTGCAAGAGAGATGTGGGGACACACTGAGCACTTACAGGGATAAGGTTATCTGCTCTCTTTCTCTTACAAGGATGTAAAATACAAAATGTGCTCTGCCTAGGAATTGTTTTTCTTGGTGGGGGTAAGATTACAGTTGGTGAAAGGAAGGCTGTCATTTATTAAATACCACCCCACGCCCTAGCTCAGACTAGATTTTAAATATCAGAGTCTTGACATTTCCTGTAATACTTTACACAATAGTCTCAGACAACTTCTAAACTTTTTTTTTTTTTTACAGTGACAAGTTTACTAGATTTTGTCAATGGAAAAACGTAGAGCTAAATATTCATGTAAGTACTTACAAGTATATTTATCTTGTCAAAGGCTGGTACAGGAAAGAGAATGTTCAGTTTTGAATCCTTCTCTGCAAAGGCCTCATTAAGGAGGGTGGTGGATGTCACTGCTCTGCTATTCTTAGGCACAGCCTTGACTATTCCTGTCTGGACATCCCTTCTGCCTGTCCTCACTTAATAGAATTTGGATTTCTCTGATGGCTGAAGGAGCTGAACTGCCAGAATTGCTGCTCTTTAGCAGCCCCAGTCACTCTCCAACTCCCTCTCCCACTGCAGTCCTGCCGTGGCCTCAGCACCCTTTGGACCCCTTCCCTTGGCCTCTGCCTTTGTCCCTCTGCACTGCTCCATGACAGCTTGGGCTGTGAAAATAGCCTTTAAAAAGACTGGCAGTTTTTTGGGAACAGCAACCTCATTCCCCTTGTTCCTACTTCACGCTGTAATGCTTGCAAATACATTGAAATATAAACAAAAAGAGGCTCCTTTTCCAACACAATAAATACTGATGAATTACAGTAGTTGAGTGTCTCAACACATTTAGATGTTTTTACAGTAATGTTTTTAATGCTGAAAAATGAAGGTTTTGTTCTGTTTGTTTTTTTTTTTCCCCCCATTTGCAGCTGACCATGAATGATTTTAGTGTACATAGAATAATAGGAAGAGGGGGGTTTGGTGAAGTGTACGGCTGCAGAAAAGCAGACACTGGAAAAATGTGAGTACCACACACTGTATTGCAGAGGTAACTGTAAACTCTGAACTACTAAGGAAATCCTTCCAGTCATTTCTTAGGAAATCACTGGAAAGCAGTGTCATGTTACTGTAAAGGTGTTGGTAGTTAAGTTTTATCCCAAGAGGTTCTGATTTCTGGCTCATCTTTAGGTTCAGTTTGCTCTTTGGTCCCGTTCTGTGCCATGCAGTGGGTCAGTCTCCCAGAGCTCTTGGGCACATCCTGCACTGAAATGTCCTGTCAAAATCAATGGAAACTGCATGTTACAATTAAGTGTGTGCTTAAAGAATTCCCTGGATCAGAGGCTGGCAGTGCAGAGGGATGTTCCCAGGAATCCCTGGTGGTGGGTCAGATGTCATCTGCAGAAGGTTCAGCCTGTCACATCCCCGGTGCTGACGTGGGGCTGGAGGGGCTGCAGGGACCCGCTATCAGTGCTGGGAAACCTGAGCTGTGCCAGGGCAGATTCCAAGTGTGCTATTCCAGATTTGGGGAATTGCATCAGTGTCTTCCCTGACCTATGGTGAAAGCAGTGATCCTTGCTGACATTTGGAAGCATATAGTTCCAGTGTTGAATCTGTGTTTCACAGAGCTCTCTGTGGGAACTCCAGGATCAACCCTGGATGGTTTTTCTATTCTTTTTGTGGTCTTACCATTCCCACGCTTCTCCTGATCATCAGATTTCAATTTCCTGGCATCCTTGTCCCATTATGTTCTGACTTGAACATCTGGGCATGGATTTAACAAATTGTTCTCAGTATCTATCTATCCATTTATTTATTTACACCCCATCCTGCCCCTTTCATCTTGCTTTTCTCCTAACACTTTTAATCCAGGGACCATCCTTAAACATTTCTCTTCCAAGAGAGCATGGCATGTTTGAGGTGCCATGTCTCTGGTTCCAGCTGGCTTCTCTGGCAGCTGTGTGTGCTTGGCACTCCTGATAATAATAAACCTCTGAGCTGTAGCAAGTGGGAGACATCTTAATGTTGCTGTCATACTCAGTATTTTTGCAGTGACTTCAAGTATTATATTGATGCTCTTACTAACAACACTGGCTTTATTCTTGCCTTGGTGCTTTTTTGTCCATGTACAATTAGTTAATTTGTCCATGTACAAAAATAAACATTTTATTTAGCTTGAGGCACACTAAGCAGGCATCCCCAAAGAGGCAGTTTTCAGAGTCCCAGCTGTCTTCATGCCTGAGTTTGGCTCTGACAGGAGGTTGATAAACCTTGGGAAGTGAAAAGAGCAGGAAGAGTGAAGCAAAGGACAGATTTTATCAGATATAAATAGAGGGAAATGTGGGAAAACCAACCTTTTTTTTCAAATTTGAAGCAAAACTTTAGATTAGGTTCAGCCTCTGGGTAGAGGTTTGGTTTAGTTCTTTCTTAATCCAAACCTGTTTACCCATCCCTAATCCAGATCCCGTCCAGTGTAGATGCTGCCTCTGCTGCACTTACTGCCTGAAAGGAGCGTGGGAACCACCCCTCCCTCCCAGGTAACACCAGCAGTGTTCCACTAACCACAGACACACCTGAGGCTCCTGTCATGTCACCATCTCCCCTGCAAGGATGTCCAAAGAGGCACCAGAAGTAGGATGCAGCCAGCATTCCAGGGGGAGGGACAGCAGGACCAGCGAGAGACTTGATTTGGAATAGGTTGCCCAAAGAAGCTGTGGCTGCCCCATCCCTGAAAGTGTCCAAGTCCAGGTTGGATGGGACTTGGAGCAACCTGGTCTAGTGGAAGGTGTCCCTGCCCATGGCAAAGAGTGGCACTAGATGGGCTTAAAGGTCCCTCCCAACCCAAACCATTCTGGGGTTCCATGATTTCCGTCAGCCTTGAGTCACTCTCTGATCAGGGACACCAGAGCAGGGCAGGGCAGCGTGTCAGGGGTTATTTATAGTCACCCTTCACAGCCTCCACAGCAAGAGCACGTGCCATGAATATATTCCCAGGTTGGAAACTCACAGTTCCAGTGTGTTCACTCTCACTCCCTCACTCCCACCATGTGCATGGCAGGAATGATGTGGCTGGTTTAGGGAGCTGGGCCCAAGGTGAGGCCCTGGGTCTGGATGGGGCAGGCACAGTGAGGCAGGGCCTGAGCGCTGGTGCAATGCTGTAACATGGTGTTTTCCTAAAAATCCATGGGTGCCCACGTCTAGGAATCTTCTGTGCGGGAACACATGTGTCCTTCTCGCTGTTGTCTATTAGTGGACTCACCCAACATCTTGGAAAAATCTCCAGCCTACATCATATCCTCCTGTGGTTGATGGTTGTTAGGGTAACATTCTTTTTGAGCACAATTTTATTAATTTGTGTAGCACAGATGGTAGAAGATTAAAAAAGCTTTCTTGTGTGTATCTGACCTTTTTCTGAGTAGAAAGAAAACTTAAAAAAAAAATATATATATAAAACTCAGCGTGTGTTCAAGATATTGCTTTCCTGGTAGAGCTGAAACTGTTGGAATGAAATGGAACCATAACAGAGTCTGTTATTTAATTCCTATGGCAGATCCTTGTTTGTAGGTATTAAAAAATAAATGTACGATATGTAATTCCTATCCCACTGTGGTGGTTTGGACACAGAATTACTTGTTGAAGCACATTTCTCTCTTAGGAGGCTTCTGCTGGAAATGTGTTAATTCTGGGAGAGTTTGGAGATTTTGTGTTTAGCCTGAAATTATTTTTTAGTCTTAGGTTTTAAGTCTTTCATGGAGCTTGCTTACAGGATCTTGTAGATGTGCATGACCTCACTGCTGGTGAATAATACTGATAGAGGAGTTTTGTGGTGCTTTTTCTGAATGGTTGTTATTTTCAGGTATGCAATGAAATGTTTAGATAAGAAGAGAATCAAGATGAAGCAAGGAGAAACATTAGCCTTAAATGAAAGAATTATGCTGTCTCTTGTCAGTACGGGAGTAAGTATCACTGACTTGTTATTCTTTCTTCCATATAATATAAAAGCTGTTACATATAATGCATATTCCATCAATTCAGTTGTGTGACATGCAAAAATTAACCCCCACCTGAGCCTCCCCCTGATTTAACAGTGTGTCTGAAATGAGAAGGAAAAAACAAACTTGCTTGTCAGTTTGGGTGCTGCAGAATGAGCCTCTCGGCTACAGAGGCTTGAGGGGGTGCCCATTTCTTAGGTAATTCATTCTCCCCTCCTCCTGATTTTTTAAAATATTCCTTTTTCAAGTATTTCTATTTGAAACTTTTCCAAAACAAGATTCTGTCTTGTGAAAAAATGCCTTTTTTTCCTATAGTTTTGTAGTAGTGATGCAGAACCTAAGGTGCTATTGCAGAGACAACTCCAGTTACCTGTTCATCCTCCCTTTCCTGTGACTCTGATATTATCCAAGTTTTCCTTTCGTTTTTTTTTATGTACTTTAGCTGAGTACCTCTCAAGGTGAACCAAGCCAGGCTGCCCATCTAATCTGTTTAAAAATTGAATTAATTAAAATTAAAGTCTATTTAAAATTGAACCCATTGCTAGTGTGTGCAAAAAGCCACCTGCCCCCTGACATTGGCTCCCGCAGCCCTGGGACCTGCAGATGCTCCATGGTGGCTATAGTGTGTTGGGCTCAAAGGAATTCTAGGTGGGATTGGAGGTCTTAGAGCCCTTGGAGTGCTCTGCCCTCATTGCACAAACCTGGCAGCTGCTCATGTCACCATGGCTACGGGTGATGCTGCTGGAAAGGTTCCTTTTCCTCATGTCGTGGTGTATGAACTAAACACTCAGTGTGCAGCTCTGTAGAAACACATCCCCACTCCCTGTGGACACAGAATTGTGTGTTGGTTTGTTCTAGTCTTGTACAACAGTTGTGCAAAGAGCATAAGTACCTGGAATGTGAGGATTCCTGTTTTGGATTCCAAAATGGCAAATCCTGGGCTTTGTTCTCAGGTCTGTATCTTGCAGAGATAAGAGAATCATAAAAGCTGGGAAAGACCTTTAGGATCATCGAGTCCAGCCATTATCCCAGCACTGCCAAGGTCACCACTAACCCAAGGCCCCTTCCAGTGCCTAAAGGCGCTTCAGGAGAGCTGGGAGGGACTTTGGACAAGGGCCTGGAGTGACAGGACAAGGGGAGATGGCTTCCCAGTGACAGAGGGCAGGATTAGATGGAATACTAGGAAGGAATTCTCCCCTGTGAGAGTGATGAGGCTGTAGCACAGGTTGCCCAGAGAAGCTGGGGCTACCCCATCCCTGCAAGTGTTACAGGCCAGGTTGGATAGGGCTTGGAGCATCCTGGGATAGTGGAAGGTGTCCCTGCCCATGGTAGGGGGTGGAATGAGATGATCTTTAAGGTCCCTTCCCACCCAAACCCTTCTAGGATCTATGGTTTATCAGTTAGACTTTTAATCAAGTTACCTGTTTTCACCAGAGATAAACTGTGGATTGTCCAGGAGTGTCAGGAGTCCTGAGAGATGGGGGAGAGGGTCTATAGTAGACTGGACAAGAAATTGAGGCAAATGAGTAATAATTGTCCCATTAACTTTAATTTGTGATTTTGTGGCTCCAGCACTGAATGTGAATTTTCATGTCTAATGAGGGAAGAAATCGTTCACAAGCTGCTGCAGGTGAAGGCAGCTTTCTTACAGACCAGCACACAGGAGGCATTGAGCAGTGGAGCAGCAAGAGGAACCATTGGTTTCTTTCCTTAAGGATTATCAGGTCATTAGAGTGTAGTTTCTTTTAGATTCTCAGAAATTTGGAAGAGTTAGGAGAGAAATTTTGTACGAAGTGCTACCCATTCAGGTTGGGTACACCTGGGCAGGAGAGGCTGGAGCACTTGGAATATCAGGATGAAATAGGTCTGAAAGTGATGGAATAAGAGAATTCCTTTAGTTCCTGAACAGGAGCTGTGAGGTTGGAGTGGCGCGTGCCATGCCCAGGGACAGGAGTGATATGCTGCCCGGAACAACATGGAACTGGAAAGTTCATCACAGTACAATTAGTCATTTAACTGGGAACCCAGATGTCTCTGCAAAAGGCACAATAACAGCTGTGCTGATTACACATCTGGTTGTGTAATCAGTGCTGTTAATCCACCTAAAATTTTGGCATCCACAACCAGTCCTGAAGTCGGGAGCTCCCATGTTCGAGTCTGTTGTGGCTGTGTGGTGAGAACAGCTTTTCATGGCCAGTGAACTCAGAAGTGCAACAGGCACCTCTGCAGAGCCCCTGAAACTGCCTGGATGGGCCTGATAACCCCAAACTGGGCTCTGTGGAACTCGGGTCTCCGTTGGTGTCTGTGCTTTGTCACTGTGGGTGTAACATGGACAAACTGTCGCTGAGGTTTGCATTTCCTCTTCTGCAAGACACAGGCCCCATCTTCCCCTCCCACAGAGATGTTCAGGCTGGAAGTGCATTGTGAAATCCTTGCTTGGTGGCAGAGTAAGGAAAAGATATTATTTTCTGTTAAAAAAACCCCAAGCACTTATTTTCTATAATAGCCAATATTTGCCTGATTTCTCTTCAAAAAATGGAACATGGAAATCACCAAGACTGTTGCTGCTGATGGACCATATGAAACCAGCCAGCCCCAAGGTGCTCTTTGGGGAAGGAAGTGGTTATTCCATAAATCCTTTCCCAGAGGTAGGAGGGGATCATTCCAACTGTTTGTTGCAAGACCAGGGGCTATGCAGGACTGTGGCTCCTCTCTGCTGTGGCTCCCAGTTCTTTCCTTCTAGAACACTTGTTAATGTGCTAATGTCTTTAAAATATCACATTTCTACAGGTTTTTTATAGTTGTTGTAATATTTTTTTCCTTCCATGTGATTTATTATCAGAAATTTGACTTAAGCAGTTTTCTGGGCTCAATCCAGGATTGTTTGGATTTAAGGAACTCTTTCCAAACTGATCTTAATTCACACATTAATGTCATACTGTCACTTATTTTCATCAGAGCAGAAACTTGACTGTAGCAAAGTATTGCTCTCCTGGGAAATTGGATTTATGGCTTTATGTGTCATTTAAAAATATAACTATAGGGGTTTTTTAATTTTTATGCTGGAAAATACTCTTTTGCAGTGGTTTTTATATCAGAAAAATACTGCAGTACAGTTTTTCCTCTCTGTTACAGGGAGAAGGTAGTGATTAAATTAGGAATGCTTGCATAAAAATGAGTTATGCATTGCATTTACACTTCCAGATAACTTTTATTTTTAAAATCCATAAAAACAGAAGCATGTTATGTTCTGGTGTAGTAAAACCCTTTTATTTGTCTATGTATGGTGGTTAAATTCTAGCACTAAATCCTTCTGGGTAATTAGGTTGCTCTGAGATTTTAGGAATCGTGCTTGGGGACACTTGTGAATTACTCAGTTGATACAGAAAATTAAGTTAATAACTCTACTAAAGCTGTTGTGAAGTTTAGTGATACCTACAGTATCCCCAGTTCATAACCAGAGGTGGTATTTCGTGTTAGATGCTACTGCCTTGCCTACAGGCTCCTTATTTTTAGGCCCATTTGTGAATCTGGAGTTTTTCATGGATGTTCTGCAGGTGTTTCACACACATCCCTACCTTCTGCGGGCGTTAGTTCTGCAGAGGGGTGTTAGGGGTTAGTGTTTGAAGAATTAAAATTAACATACAGTTGGGTTTGAGTGTGAGGGCAGGATGTGTCCAGGCACTGAGGGGATCTCTGGGATTGCAGTTGAGCATATAGAGCTCTGTATTTCAACCTCATGGAAGGATGAACCAACTGAACTGTCTGGCTGGTGGGACAGTGCTGCTGTCCCTCCCTTTCCTGCTCCCCGGGGCGGCCCCGAGCCAGGCCCGCGGCCCCCGCGCTGCCCAAGGCCGCCGTGTTTTGCTGTTTCTAAATTGGGAAGGAAACCAGTTCCTGTTAGAGATTCCCAGAGCTTTCACTATCAATACTACTATCATACTTAAACACATTGTTTAAGTCACGTTAGGTCATGCTCGTGCTTCCTGCAGGGTGTCCTGGCTCCCCAGCAGTTCAACTCATCTTGGATCGTCTTCCTGTTGGCCTCCGTGCCTTAGGGTTGGACGTGGGATGGTGCAGCCCAGCCTGGTCAGGCAGCCTGGCCATTCCTGAAGGGTTCATTGCAGACTCACCAAACAACCCTTCATACCACGTCCTTCTAGTGGAAGGTGTCCCTGCCCATGGTAGGGGGTTGGAAAGAGATGAGCTTTAAGGTCCCTTCCAACCCAAACCATTCTGGGATTCTGTGATTCTGTTTTTTATGGCTTTGAAGAGGTTGATGAGGTAATAGCCACTCCCTGTTAATTAACCAAGGACATCCTGGCTTGTACCAGCAGTAGTGTGGCCAGCAGGACCAGGGCAGTGACCATTCTTCATGGAAAGGGTTGTCCAGCCCTGAAATGGGCTTCCCAGGGCAGTGGTGGGGTCACCATCCCTGGGTGTATTAACAGACATATGGATGTGGCACTTGGGGACATAGTTTAGTGTTGGCCTTGCAGTGCTGGGGGAATGGTTGGACTCGATGATCTTAGAGGCTTCTCCAACCTAAACGGTTCCATATTTCTGTGAATTGGCCACTTGCATCCAGCACAGGCAAAATGAAGAGGAAACTTTGCCAGCCTGCTGCCATGTTGGCTTTGTGCATGTGCATTATGGAGGTACCAACATGCTGAGTAGACCTTTGGAATAAATAGGTGATTTTCCAGTCGTATTTCTATGGCTGCTTGTCTTGAACATCGGGTGAATTGGGGTTAAGGTGCATCAGGAGGTGGGGGTGTCATCCATCCCTGTCCCTGACTATGACCTCCCTCTTCAGTGACCTCCCAAATCTGCCCTGACCAACCTTGTGACCTCCCAAATCTGCACCCACTGACCTTGTGCTGTGGGCTTTGCACAATCTGAATGTTGCGGTTGCTGCTTCCCGAGCATTGCACGTGCTCCAGAGTCCCAACTTCCTGCCTGGTGTGTTCATGTCCCTTCAGTCCTCTGCTGGAAATGCTGCCGGGGAGCCGAGGGCAGCAGCAGTGGCAGATTGCCTTCACTGTCACCTGGGCAGGGGACCTCAGCCAGGGACAGGGGTTACCACTGGAGCTGCGTTTCCTGTCTGGGTGAGGATAGAACCTCTGAACGTTGGCAAATATCACAGGAAAAATATGACGTGTATTTTTAGCTTCTCCAAGTCACACTTTGCTCATTATCCGTGGTGACCTCTTTGCTTTTCCCTTCCAGGACTGTCCTTTTATAGTCTGTATGACCTATGCCTTCCACACCCCTGACAAACTCTGCTTCATTCTGGACCTCATGAATGGTAAGCAAGACTTAAGCAGATGATGATGATGTTACAGAAATTTTGGCAGGAGGTTTGCTGAGATGCTTGGTCCCTCAAGCCTGGGCTGCTCTATGTGCTGATCTATTCAGTTCTCCACAAACCAATGTGTGTTAGTGCCTTTTACTTGCTGTGGAAATCCTTTGCAAAAAGACTTAAGTTGCTGGATTAGTCACTGAGTGCAAATGTATATGAAGTAAATGTATTTTTAAAATGCAGTTTCAGATAGGTCGGATTTATTTATTTATTAACGTTCTCAGCTATTCTGTCACTATAGGACTTGCAGAGGGCAGAACTGGGTCTGTCTGCTCCACAGGTGATAAGAACCTAAAAATGCTGTACTGTTACCCCCCTTCTGCCTGCGGGGCAAGATTTTACTGTTTATTTAATTGCATCTCCATTCTTCTCATTATAGGAGGAGATTTGCACTACCACCTCTCCCAGCATGGAGTGTTTTCTGAAAAAGAAATGAGGTTTTATGCTACTGAAATCATCCTGGGCTTAGAACACATGCACAATCGCTTCGTGGTGTACAGAGACCTGAAGGTAATGGTTAGTGACTGCATCACACAGGCAGCAAATAGTCCAGGCACACTGACAACAATGGATTATCTCACCTGAAACCTTTTCTGGGGAGGATTATTTCTTTTATCTGCCTGATTTTTGTAATAACTTTTCAAAATCTTTCTAATCCATACCATTATCCAGTTTAACCAGGCTGGGAGAGGCTTCCTTGGGATCACAATAAATCCTGTGCAGTGTTACTTATCTCCCCTGCTCGGTTACAGGAATAATTTAGAGAATACACTGTATTTCTGGGAGCCCTGAAAGAGGCCTCTGTGTGTGTAATGGGGGACTAACAGAAGGACAGTTGCTGGGGGTGTTTCACTGACAGTTGGGAAGTTGAGGACAGTTCCCAGAGAGGTGTCCCTGAGCCAAATGGCAATAAAAGGGGACAAAAGTCTGCACAGAGATTGCAAATAAAAGGTGTAAGAGCCACACAAAGACCCAACTGTGAAAGAACCAAAACCAACTAGGACTTGAAGCCAAAATAGATTTATTCATTTATTATGTGCTTTGTGTTTCAAACCGTGCCTGGTTTTTCTCTTCTGTTATTCAGTATTTCACAACCTGTGGAGTTGATGGTAGTGCTCTGTGAGAATGTAGATTTTACCTAGAAAGTGTCTGGTATATTGATGTTAAATAAAAAAAGGTAATTACCAATTACCAGAGAGTATTGATGTTTGAGTTACTGTGTTCTGAGAATTTGCAGTTCTGTCAGATGGAGGATTCCAAGCAGTCACCTTCCTGTGTCTGATTTCCAGCCTGCAAATATCTTGTTGGACGAACACGGGCACGTGAGGATATCAGACCTTGGGCTGGCTTGTGATTTCTCCAAAAAGAAGCCACATGCCAGTGTGTAAGTATTGTGAATGGGAGCTCTGCTGCATGTACAGGTAGTGCTAAATACGTCCTGAATTTGTCTTTATAATTTAACTTTGCCTGAAGGAATAAAATGACACATGTGTGGCCCAGACTTGCTAAGCTGGAGGCTCTAATGGGGTTTTTTAGTCTCCTCTCCCTGTTTTCCTGCACAGTTGTAGCAGCTGATGTGTAGGCATGGCTGGGAGATGACACATTATTTTGGAATGATTCACTGCTCAGAGAAGAACCTGACTGAGTTAAAGTACCAGATTGTTTTAATTGTCCTAAATGGATAATTAAATATTCCAAAACTGACTAAAAAACAGGACTTGTTGTGTCTTTCTGGATCTTTGTGGAACTGGAGGTAGATTTGGTTCCATTCTGCCTCTTGGCATTAGGTCTTAACTGGGATCTGACTTCCTGGGGTTGTGTGTAGATTCACATCTCACCTGACATGTTTTATTCTTAGGTCCTCATTTGCCCTGATTTAGTCTCATAATTTATGCAAAAAGGAAAGCTCCAGCCTGTCACACCTCAAAAGATTTGCAATTCAGTAGCTTCTTGAAAAAAGTTCTTATGTTTTGATTGTGTCAAGGGTAAAAGCAATACCTGGTGGCTTCTTCTAGTGGTGCCCAGGTGGTGAGTTTGGGAGGAGGGGTCCTGTGGTCACCCAAGCGTAGGTGAAAGGAGACATAGGAAACCCACTGAAAGCAAAATAAAATCATGGTTAAAATGAATTCTCTTTAAATTAGACTGTCTTATTGAGAAAACACTGATTTTTAATGTTTTGGTTTTTTAATGATGGTGTTGGTTGTAATGAAGCTTTTGCCCCTTTCTGCTCTGCAGAGGTACCCACGGGTACATGGCCCCCGAGGTGCTCCAGAAGGGCACAGCGTACGACAGCAGCGCCGACTGGTTCTCCCTGGGCTGCATGTTGTTCAAACTGCTGAGGGGGTGAGTGAAGGCTCTTCTTCTTTCCCTTTTGAGCCTGGGCCTGCTCATCGTCTGTCCCTTCAAATGCTAATACGTGATGTGTTACAGATTACCTGAAATGATACCTGACTTCCCACTCTGCAGCTTAGAGCATGTGAGACTAAACCAGGCTTTTCTCTTGCAAACCAAACCAAACCCAACCCTGTGTCCTGTAGCAGGTGCAGGTGTGGGACATGAGGAAGGCAGATGCTCTATCTGCTCTTTGATTGCTACTGACAGCAGTTTACTCATCTCTTGGCAGCTGATAGTATTTTAAATGCTGTGATGTTACTCACTGCTCAAGTGCTCTGAGCAGCCCTGTTAAATTATGGGCTTCATTTTATGCCTAAGACCTGCTGTTGTGGTGAAACTCTTGGCTGTACTGTTCCCTTTTTATGGGATACTCAGCCTTCCCTCCTTCAGAGTTTGGGTCAGGTACAAAGTTTGAATCCTTCCATGTGCTGAATCTGTCCTGTTACCTTATCAGTGTCCAAAGGTACATGATAATTACAGCTTTACTAGCAATTACCTTCTTATTAAACTTATGTGTGTAGAATTGATTAATACCACAGAATTTATCTGAGCAGTCAACAAGCACTGATGGGCAAGCGCTTGTTGGAAATGGCATCTTCAGTGTTAATGGCAAACCAGAAGAAATCTTTTAAGCTTTTCGCAGTACTTCTGTGTAAAGATTGGTCATTAGATCATCCTGTGTCCTCACACATAATTAACTATAATTAATTATAAGTTCTTATCCCTGTGCAGACACTGTACAAAGGAAGGTCAGTGTGAAACTCGTGAATTGAGCTCTCAAGCTGTATGAATTTAACATTAATTGTGCACAAAATAGACTAGAAAAGTGTGCAAATAAATGTGTTTAAATTGCCAAAAACATCTATTTCAAAGTACAGACAGTGTAGCTGGGAGCAGTGCTCTGTTGAATATTAATTGAAGAATTCTGTAGGAAGCAGGACACGGTGGGTTGGGTTTGCTGGGAGGAGGGAGGAGACCATCTGTCACACACAGAATTCCAGAATGGGGTTGGAAAAGTCCTCCAAGATTATCAAGTCCAACCTATGACCTATCCCCACCTTGTCCCCCAGCCCAGAGCACTGAGTGCCATGTCCAGTTGTTTCTTGGACACTTCCAAGGGTGGGGAGTCCACCACCTCCCTGGCAGCCCCTTCCAAAGCCTGCCCACCTTTCCATGAGAAAATTCCTCCTGATGTCCAACCTGAACCTCCCGCGGCACAGCTTGAGATCTTGTCTCTCATCCTGTCCCTTGTTCCCTGGGAGCAGAGCCCAACCTCCTCCCGGCTCCACCCTCCCGTCAGGGAGTTGGAGAGAATCACTGTGGACTCCTCATCCTGTCTTGGAGACCCTTTCTTCTGAGTCAGTTGGGCACAGGATTAGGGCATCCAGCTGACTGTGACATGGCCCTTCCCTCTCAGGATCGAAGCTGTGTGACAAACACGCTGCGCAGGGATAAACGATCCCATTTCCCACAGACACTCGGGCTGGCTCAGGGAGATCTCAGTCTTTTGGGCTGTGGTTCTCCCTGACAGAAATGTGTGGGGTGGTATCGGTGGTCGGCCAGAAGCCAGAGCATTATTCACTGTGAACTATCCTTCCTCATCTGTTCTGAAGCCAATTAAAACACATCCCAAAACAAGGATTGGGCACATGGTGCCTTTTCTTGGTGTTTAGTAAATTTAGTCTGGCACAAAATCTGCCCATTAGTCCCCAGTGAATCATTTGCTTCCCTGATCTACTCAGAGCCTCACTGTCAGAGTACAGGAGGCTGTGTGGGAGCCATTTATTCTTACCTGTCATGCCTGGAAACAGACAAATGGAAGTCCTGGTTTGCCCATCAGATCATCAGAACATTTTTGAGGATAAAAGGAAAATAACTCTGGAGTAGCAGGTCTCCATTTGAAACATGCTAGTACACACTGCCATGTGGCAAGACAAAAGGCTTTAGAATAGCTAATTAATGTAATTGATAAGTTTTGATTTTGAAAAATATCATCCCCTCATAAATCTAATTAAAAAATCTCATACTACGATGCTACTTCTTTCTTTCATGCTGTTGATGAAGGACTGTGTGAAAAATCTCTAATGTTTCACGGTCTTCTATAGCTTAAAGGAAAAGTCAAACTCAAACCAGAATTTTAAAGCAGGAAAGGGAAAAAACTGATAATGTACCAGATAGCAAAATGTCTTCCCAGTGGCTGATGCTGTGGGATTTGTGATTACCCTCTCCTTCATCTGCTTACTTGAAGGTTTTACTTCATTCTCCCTTGTAGAGGAGTGATGAGTTCAGTTTCCATATATAAATCTGTGTTTTTAAACCCCTTTGTGTGATGGCTGCTTGGGGTTTCCTTCTTAGGTGAAACTCTTCAGGTATTTGGAAGACAGACTTACTTGGTGAGGCATTTGAAACACATCTTTAAGGGCAGATCACTGAGTTTGAGAATCACCCAACCTCCTTCCCACCTTCCCGTGGAGTAACTGGACAGATTGTCCTACAGGACAGGATTTATGAGGGGGAAGGATGGGGCTAACAGGATGCTGCACGCTCTCCTGGGTTTGCCACAGCTGAAATATTCTGTGACTTGACATTTATTAGTGTGGTTTTTTTGTTTCCACAGGCACAGTCCTTTCAGGCAGCACAAAACCAAAGATAAGCATGAGATCGACCGGATGACGCTCACCGTGGTAAGGCCTGGGCACAGTTACACTCCCCATGTTATTAAACTCTTATTTCCCCTAAAAACTGGAACTACACACCTGTACATGACTGTATTTGCACATGGGAGAGTTGTTTACAAACACTCTCCAAGAAAAGAAATCAGATCACACGACCTCTGTTGTGAAATATCTCTTTGTACTTCCTTTCCTCATAGAATGTGGAGCTCCCAGACTCATTTTCTCCTGAACTGAAGTCCCTTCTGGAAGGGCTCCTGCAGCGGGATGTGAGCAAGAGACTTGGATGCCAAGGAAGAAGGTAGGTGTTGTCTTCTCCTTGGACCACTGCCTTGAAAAATTTCCACTTCTCTGTCAATGAGTGAATTAATTTCAAGTAAAAATCTGCTTCCTGTTGTGAGGATTTTAATTTTGGAAAGAGAACATTAAAAAGTGCTGCTGCATGGAATTACATTTCAGCTTCCTTTGGTTTGGACACGTTTTTTGGACAATTTCTGTCCTTAAAGCCTTCCCCCGAGTTCCCTGCAGTCATACTTACATTGGGTGGTGTTCCTGCTTCTCATCCCTGGGTTGTTTTTCTGGTTTTGCCTAATCTGTTTTGGCATGAAATCATATGACTTGACTCAGACAAACTGATAGGAAAATTTATTGCTTACATTTTATCTGTACTGATAGGAGCATATTACACAGAAAAAAACCCCAATCCCAAAGGAGAGAAGTTGTGAATATTGCTGGTGCTACCTGTGTCATTTCATGGTTCTAAGGAAAAGGCTTTTTTTTTTTTTGTTGGTTTCTTGAGTACAAAACACTCCTTGCTCCTGCCAAGCTCACCTCGTTGTAGGTGTTCATGAGATTGTTGTTATCAACTGTTTAAGAAGCCAATGTGAGACTGGGAGAGTAAACAAGGAGAGAAGTAAACAACTGTTGAGAAACCTTTGGGGATGTGTGATGACAGGTAACTGATGGCCCTGAGCCTGGGGCTGGCTCCAGTTCCAGTGGGAGATTCAGAGGGTTTTTGTCTTGGAACCTTCTTTGATAATGACCTGAGATTGCTTTTCCTTGGGGCCTATCAAGAGTAGTGGCTCATTTTCCCATAAAATTTGTGTAATGTGAAATGGTGTGGACCAATCTGGTTACATACAAGTAGTGTTTGGGATGTGACACAGCTCAGTGTATGGGATCTGACACAGGTCAGCATTTGGGATCTGACAGCAAAGGAATATCCTTTGCTGTTTGAAATGATGGGCTGCCATCAGGAGTGCTTCCCTGCCAGCCCTGCAGCACTATTCTGAGTGTTTCCATATCTTTTCTCCTGTTGTTTACTTCAGAATTTTTATTTTTTTCCTTGCAAAAAAGAGCATTTCCCTGATGTTTTCAAGTTATAGAAATGTGACCTTTGAAGGCTTTGTATTTCTTGAATGCATTTGAAAAGCCATTTGTTGACTTCAGTCATTTTTATTTTGCAGCGCACAAGAAGTAAAAGAACATCCTTTCTTCAAAGGCATTGATTGGCAGCAAGTCTATTTACAGAAGGTAAAGGATGAACACAGTAATTTTAGCTTACTTGATTAACAGTAACAGGAAAATAAGCCCAAACAGGTAATGGACAGAAAACTTCAGGATCCCAATCCCTAGCACATGTGCTCACTGGCACAAATATGTGGAGGGTTGTTGATGAAAGCTGCTGAATATTCATCACTACAGATCTCAGTAGTGAATTATTATTTTTTCAGTGTCAAATGGCTGCATGGTTTCTTCAGCTTAACTGTCTCTAAACTGAAGAGTTTTTTCCCCAGATTTTTGAAGGAGCTTCTATTAAAGAGTGGCAGCAACTTTGGGACAGAAGTTTAATTTCAAGGGACACGCTCTTGCACAGCCATGTATCATTTGTGCAAAAAAATAAAAAGTCTGTGTACAACTTACAGAATAGAGTTAAATAATGTCCATTATGTTGTCTTTAATTATGCTGCTTTAATTTCTAGTACCCTCCTCCACTGATTCCTCCCCGGGGAGAAGTGAATGCAGCAGATGCTTTCGATATCGGGTCGTTTGATGAAGAGGACACTAAAGGCATTAAGGTACTCAGCTTCCAGTGAGAGGTGGAGGGTGGCACTGGGACTGCTGTGCTTGACTTTCCATGTGTGCATGGCATTCCTTTGCTTCGAGGCTGCTGGATGTGCAAGGAATTCCTTCAGGTTGGGAAACTCAGTCCATGCTGGTACCAAAGAGATACCTTGGGCTGGTTCCCTGGGTTGTTGTTTGCCAAGTCCTTAGGTTTTTAAATTAACTGAAATCTACCTTCCTGTCAGAAGTGTCGTAGGATCATGGAATACCCTTGTGGGAAGGGACCCACAGGGATCATCAAAGTCCAACTCCTGGCCCTGCACAGGACACCCAACAATCCCATGTCCCTGAGAGCGTTGTCCAAATGCTCCTTGAGCTCTGGCAGTTTTTTATGACAAACCAAATATTTAAAACCGTCAGAAGACAATTGGGAAAGCCTCATGTTTTCAAGAACACCTGATGGTTTATAGGTTTACAAATTGTGATTAGTTTCTGATAGCTGGGATAAATTGAACTAAACCTTATTTTAATAGTTTAGTGGTCAGAGAGTGCATTGGAAAACTCTTAAAAATGACAAACTGTGTATTGATGTTAGCAATGTATTAAGTTAGAAAAGTGCGGAAAGAAACTTTCAGGTTCTGGTATTATCGAAAATCTAATGAAAAAATATAAATGAAAAAAAAAAAGAAGTTGAAACTGCTGGCCCCTTTAGGACTCACATGAAGGTGATGTGACCCCCCTGTGAATATCTTCCCTCTCTGGAGCTTCTCTGGGACTTTGGGACAGCAAGTGAATCAGTGCTTTTCTTGGGTCTGTCCTCTTCATTCTTTTCATCAGACATTTCTGCAGTAGATCAGACCTTATTCTTGTTATTACAGAAGTGAGTCAGGAGAGAAACTAATTGCTCTAAACTTTGTAAGCAAAAAGCCACACTGAGTACTCACAGAGCCTGAAAAGGAGCTTGTCTGTCAGTGTCACCTGCTGTGGTGACAGAAGTTGGCACTGAAAAGATTTTATGTGTTTAAAGAGAAATGCAGAGAGCCCAGGAGGTTCTTTATTCCAGAAAACTCCACGTCTTCAGTGTTAGTCTAGCAGGATTCCAGTCTTCTGCAACTCTGGAATGCCAGAATCCAGAGGAACGTTTTGCAAGGAGAAACCAGTTGGTCTTTCTGGTTATTGAGTGGATCAGATATGCTCAATAATATGCATTATTGAGAATTCACGTTACTGGATGTGAATCATATACCCAGGTCACTGCCATAGCACCTCCAGTTTAATCTCAGGATTTAATAGTTCAGTCTGCCTATAGGATAAATTTACTTATAGGGATGAGTCAGTGAGAGATGTCAGGTCCAGCCTCCCTGGAGTGTCACAGGCCTTTTTAGGGGACTGGGTAATTCCTGCCTCTGAGTCAGTGGAGCCAGAGCTGCCAGTGAGGTGTCAGGAGCCCTCTCTGCCTGAGGACACCAGTTTGAACACCTTGCTGTGCTCCGTGGCCCTTGGGGATTATATTTATCCTGCAGAGTGTCCTGTGACCCCAAGAAGAACACGTGAGCTTTGGGATTACCAGCTGGAGAGCCAACAGTGGATGCCTGTGGCTTTTCCTCCTTACTTGGGTGCTGTAAGAAGTCCCTGGAACTGCAGAGAAGTCTTCTCTATGTGTTTTTTCCTGCTGTCATACAACTATGGATCTCTGAAAGGAGGAGCATATGTACTCCAGGAGTGCCTGGCCTGGCTGTAGAAGGAGAATTAAGCCAGGTTTTCCTATCGTGCTCCTGCAACTGCTGCAGCATCACTGCATCCACATGGCTTTAAGCCCTTCCAGGGTTGGGGACTCCACCACTGCCCTGTTTCAGTGCTGGACAACCCTTTTAGTGAAGAATTTTTCCTAATTTCCTTCAGTGCAATTCAATTTAAGGACTCAAAGGTAGAGGAGTAAAGCATCCTTATAACAAGAAAATTGAGGTCTGTAGCACACGCTGCTGAATTTTGTAGAATAATTATTAAGAATGTAAAACCCAGCTGTGGAAGCATGGAAAGCATTGCTGTGGAAAAGGTATCTTTTCATTTATTCATGGAATTTTTGTGCTGAGGAAATTTTTATGCAACAAAGTTAAGAATACTGCTGCTTGTATTTGAGTAATTATTTAAATGTGAAGTCTAGAGAACATTATGGGACAATGTTGAGTGAGGAGCTAGCTAGAGCTATCAAACCAAACAAGTTTTGAGCAGGTGGCCTGTTATCTGCACATAAATTAGTATCTTTGCCTAGATTAGTGTCTGTGCTTCTCTTGCTTGCATCTGTTTGTTTTGTGAAGGTTTGAGCTCAATACAGCTTTTTAAATAATTTTGTTGTATGGATAATTATTAACTGTTGGGGATAAGAATAGTGAAAGTTACTAAAATGTTGGGTTTTTATGTTGTTTTTCTCTTGCAAGTTGCTTGATAGTGACCAGGAGTTATATAAGAACTTCCCTCTGGTAATATCGGAGCGTTGGCAGCAAGAAGTAGCAGAAACTGTTTATGATGCAGTAAATGCAGACACAGATAAAATTGAGGCCAGAAAAAGGGCTAAAAATAAGCAGCTTGGCCACGAGGAAGGTAATCTGTCCTTACACTTCTCTCATCTTTTGCTCCTAGATAGTAATTCCTGTGCTTGGAGTTCCACACCACACACTCCCGTGACTGTCATTCACCGGGAATCGTTAGAATTCGTTTAGTCACTGTCGTGTTGCTTAAGATGTTTGTTAATGTTTTGAAATGCTGACTGATGACATCACACTTTGGAAAGAGTATCATAGAATCATAGATCATGGAATGGTCTGGGTTGGAAGGGACCTTAAAGATCATCTCGTTCCACCCCCTGCCATGGGCAGGGACACCTCCCACTAGACCAGGTTGTTTCCAAGCCCCATCCAACCTGGCCTTGAACGATTCCAGGGATGAGGCAGCCACAGCTTCTCTGGACAACCTGTGCCAGGGCCTCCTCACCCTCACAGTGTGTGGGGTTTGATTTCATGATCAGGAGCTGAGAAGGGCCCCTGGAGGTCCTGTACAGCAAACTGCAGCCTGCGATTTGCATCAACCCCCCAGGCTTTGGAGAGCAATATCCAGTTCTTTTAACATTCTTTGTTGAGATACTTTTTTAAGAACCAAGTGTGTTCTTGGTTACTCCACTGCAGGTGCATCAGCCCATATAATTAAGGCAGAACTGGGGCTGTGTGTGCACACACAAGCAGCATTTCAACCTGCCGAGTGCGCACTGAGTGCCCCGTGCCCAGGACTCCGTCCCTTCTCCACAAAGCTCCCTGCAGAATGCTTTTAGGTTGGACCTTGGTTTGCTTTGCTGATATTCTCTCTTGTTTTAGATTATGCCCTGGGGAAGGACTGTATAATGCATGGATACATGCTGAAATTGGGGAACCCCTTCCTGACTCAGTGGCAGCGTCGTTACTTTTACCTCTTCCCAAACCGGCTTGAGTGGCGAGGAGAAGGAGAGTCCCGGGTAAGTGAGGCTACACTGGGAGCAGCACTGGAATGCGGGTGGAGGTGCAGGAACATCTAAGGACTCGTGCCCAGGTGTTCCTCCTGTGGAAATGGTTTATCCCAGTAAATGCCCTGTGGATTTGAGTAACTTATCTCCAGCATCGCTGTAGTTAATCGGTAGCTACACTGCACGGAGGAGACATAAAGTTGACTTGAGAAACCTGTTTACTCTGTTTTGTTATGTTTTTAAAGGAATTTGGTAGTTGATGGTGTTGTTTTTCATTTAGGACCTCTGGACTGTTTATACAAAAAAACACAAACTGGTAAGGTGTCAATGCTATAGCATTTTGTTTTGAAGAAAATGCTATAGTGACTGTAGTGTAGCCCAACTGTGCTCATGTGCAGGGCAGATATTTTGTGTATTTAGTTAAAGAAGGGTTTGGAATTTTAAGACATTGTGTCCTCTGCAGTCTGTAGGGAAAGCTTTCCTGCACACTGCTGTGTATGTTCACTTTGGAAGTATTTAGTGCTGAAATATTCCCTTTTAGCTCTTAAAAATAGTAAGATTGGCTTTTATTTTTAGCAGCAGTAATACTTGGAAAATGTATCAAATTATATGCAACTCTGGAGGAAAAATAATGAATATTCTGTTTGCAGACACACCTATTTGTAGATTCTTATTTCATGCTGTCATTACTGGCTTTCAGAGCTGATATTCCGTTGTCTCTGTTGAAGCAACCAAGCCCCTTGTAAATGTCTCTTACCTTATAATCTATCTTTAGTTCATGACCCAGCCTTCAGAAATAAATGTTTGTGTAATGAATCTTAATGTTCATAACTTAATTCATGTGGGGAGTCTAGAAAAATGAGATAGTGACTTTTATTTGATGGGCAACGGGGTTTTTTTTCAATTAATTCTCTGCTCTTTTGCAAATGCTGCAGCAAAACCTGCTGACAATGGAACAAATAGTATCTGTTGAAGAAACACAAATTAAAGATAAGAAATGCATCTTACTGAGAATTAAAGGAGGAAAACAGTTTGTCCTACAGTGTGAGGTAAGACACTTGTTTTTTGATAACTTAATCAGAGTGTTTTGCATATGATAAACGACTGACAAGTTTTCAGGTCTTCCTGTTACATGTTAACTAAGGCCCTTTGTGAAGCAGAGCTGAAGTGTTTATCACACTAGAGTTTTGGAAGCAGGAAACCTGCAACTGTGCCAGTTCCTGTCATGGATTTCAATGGTATTTGGGCCAAAACGAGTTCAGTTTATTAAATAGCTAAAAACTTCAAAACTACTCAACCTCCGCGGGCTCCGAGGGCCTTGTTGTCTCATGTGTCACTGCAGGGAGTTTCTGTAGCTCGTGTGTTTGCCAGGGGGAAGTGCAGGAGTCCTCAAAACGTTGTGTCCAGCCTTCGGTGGGGCGATGGAGAAGCCGAGGGCTGCACATGGGCAATACCCAAAGCTGCTCGTTCCTTCGGAAAATTAAAATAACCTCCTTAAGGTGCTGTGTAAGACAGAAGACGCTGTTGGCCGGTTACTATGAAGTGCCAAACTGCTTCTGTGTCTCTTTCAGAGTGACCCCGAATTTGTTCAGTGGAAAAAAGAGCTGACAGAAGCTTTCACTGAGGCCCAGAGGTTGCTGCGCCGGGCTCCAAAGTTTCTCAATAAGTCTCGCTCCACGGTTGTAGAGCTCTCGAAGCCACCGCTCAGCCACAGGAACAGCAATGGGCTGTAGGAGACACGAACCACGTTCACGCAGGGAGAGCTACTTGGTGAACATGCAGAGTGTCCCAGAACCCTTATGAATGACTTTGTGCAATCCTGGACGCGGGATGTGCTTAGAAGAGGAGGAATTAGATGTTTACAGCGTGGGATCATGTCAGAACTCTGTCTGTGGAGGCTGTGAAGACTGGAAGGGTGGCGGGTGGATTCCTGCTCCTGCAGCGGTGGAAGTCACCAAGCGTAGAGGCTGCTCCTTGCTCCCACGTGTCCCCACTCCCGGCGGGGACCTGGATGTGCTCCGTTACTCTGGAACTACTGATGGAAGGAAGAGGCTGTTTTCCCTGCGATCCCCTCGTTTGGTGGCACCAGGCCTGGGGCTGGCGCAGGTGCTGCTGGCTGGGGTGACACTCCATGGTGACACCGACAGACCCGGAGCTGCCGCCCTGTTGGATGACCCTCACTCTGTCGTGTTGCCATGTCCTTTCCAACCATTACTGCTGACTCTATAATAACCTTTCTCCATACTGCTGATGATCAACAGTGTGACTCTTATGCACTTCAAAGTACTGAATTCTAACTGTCCTGTGGTTTAAATGTTATTGCTACTTCATGGGAGCGTTGAACTCGAATTATTCCCTTGGTTTGTTGTACTCACTAATAGTAGCTACCACCGTTTTGCTTCTTCTACGTATATGCAGTACTATAACTGACACAATAGAGTAATAATTGGTGAAGAGGAATTTATGGTAGCTTCATCTAGTGCTCTGTTGTATAAATTGACTATTTTAGCACAGTTTTTAAAGAGCAGATTCCTTTTGACAAGTTTACAGTGAACATAAAGACAGTTCTTTTCCATTTCAGGTCAACTGCACTTTTTAAAAATTAAAAAGAAACTATTCAAATCCAATGCATTCTAGTGCATGTGCTGGGTTCAAATGTCTGGGTACCTCGGTACGTATTCCGGATCACTCCAGTTCTGGGACTCGTGGATCCTTCTCTGTTGTACACAGGTGTGTTCTCATAGCATAGATATCCCAGTTTTCTCTGTAGCTTGGCCCGGGAGGTTCGTGCACATATCACACAGCTCAGCTTGTGAAAGGATCTTTGATTTTTCTCTGCTAAAGAGTTCAAACTGTCCACATTGTAAACAGTCTGAGAAAACTGAGTGTGGTACTGACAGAAGGAGCTGATCAAATGCCCGGTTTATATTAATTCTACTTGAGGCATCAGTCCTGGGGTGCTGAACTCTTGCTGAAGTCAAGATCCAATCCTGAACTGTCTGACAACTTCAAGCTCATCAAGTCAGCCTTGCCCTGGGTGTTGTGATTGTTCGTAAGAGAGAGGTCAGGGCTGAATTTAAGCTTTTTTTCTGATTCAGTGAACACCTTTGAGAAGATTTGCTTCCCAGCTGTGTAGGTACAACTCTCATAGTCCCTAAAGACAATGGGAATTGTGTCTGGTAAATGAGAGCAGAAATTGCCCTGACAGCTTCCCCCATCTGCCAAGTGTGCAAGTGTGTGTTGCTGTCAGACAACCGCAGAGTTCCAGACCTCTTTCCTTGTAGAAAAGTAATAAAGTTGGCTGTATTTGCTTCTAGAAGTGGGGCTGGGTTGTCTGCAGAGCCCATGCAAACTCTCTCTGACCATCAGGGGCTTCATCAAAGGAAAAACCTTCTGGAAAATACCTTCTATGAGTCAGTGATTACTTTCAATGATTTTTTTTTTCCCATTTATTTTCCAAATTATTTTGTGTAAAGGGTACCAGCCTCTCTGTCATTCCTGCTGATAAGTGTCACTGAGCATCTCAGCTCCTCTGTAAGGAGCAGTGTCAAAGGTAGTCGGTCAAAGGTTGGACTCAAAGATCTTGGAGGTCTTTTGCAACCTAAATGATTCTATGACTCTTATGTGTGGTATTTAACAATGTTTGGAATAGGAAATGTCTCATGCCACTGGGTGTTGTTCAGCTCTCCCTGCAATATCATGTGATGCTCTTATTTTTCTTCTTGATTTAGAAAAACCCCTCAGATTGTGTTAAACGCTGCTCACGGTTCTTGTGTAACTTGTTTGTACTTTCTTAGTCCACGGTCAGTTCCATTCTTCTCCTTCAGTTATTTTCCATGGCTGGTTTTTACTCTCACTCCTTGTTGGCAGTCTCTGCTCAGCAGATTCCGGGCGCTGGTGTCGGTGAGGAGGGGAGGGACAGGGCAGCAATTGGGAAAATCGTGCCTCAAAACCAGAGATTGGGTATGAAACGAAGGCTGTGTATTGACTTAGGAAATTACTTGTATTTTGGAGTTGGGATGGCCCCAGACTATCCTTCTTATCACAGTCCTTACTGCCTCATCCCAGTCCGCCCTCAGTCAGCTCTCCATCTCCGGTGAGAGTGGGGCAGTAACAGATTTGGTTTTCTTCAGTCAACTGATTTATTGACAGTTTATAGGAGCTTTATTTGACTTATATGTAACTGCTCTTAGGAGAGAAGGAGAGATTATTGTAGTGACAAACTACATAGTGACTCCCGTTGGGACCCCCATAAGAACTGGGGTTCTGGTGAAAGGGACTGGATCTGCTGGTGCAGAGGGAGAGCTGGAATTCCATCCTTCCAGCCAAAATCCTGGATACTGCCCCAAACTGCTCCTTCCTGGTGTAGGTACCAGAGTCCCCGAAGTTTTTATCTTGGACAAAGGTTCCTGATGGTGTCATTTTACATGAGAGTCTTCATCTGTGTGTGTAAAACCCTCATTGAACATGGAGAGCATCAGGCACGGCCTTGTCTGTTTTGCATTTTGACCATATTTGTAGGAGTTGTATTTTTGTTAATGTTTAGGGAAGTAAAGAAATTAGAGCTTCAGGCATCCACAGCATTCACTCATCTGAGTGAATGATTAAACAGACTTTTAAACAAATTATCTGAAAGTCCTTTAAAAAGGCATCAGCTGGACTGAAGATTTAAGTGTGCGCAGGAATTGTTTCTGATATTCCAAAATGGAGAATTACACCTGGATAGGGCCATATTAAACACCCCCTGACACATCCATGTGTCTCCAGGGCTGCAGGGATCATATCCTGATTATTCCTTGTAGCTGGCAAATGCAGTAGGGCCAGATCCTGGAAAGCCAGCAGGAGTGATGGGATGGGAGAGAGCTGGGCTGGGGGTCCTGGGGCATTTTGAGGAGTTGCACCCCTGCTCCCTGGGCTTTTTTGATATGTGGGAGTTGCTGTAAATTAATGTCTCACTTGAGTAATAGGGATACAGTGAATTCTGGCCAAAATCAGGTTTCTATGAGTAGAAATTTAAGTGCAGGAGAAGCAAAGCCACAGTTATTCCTGCTGCAGGCAGAGTGAGGAACCACTTGGAGCAGGGATGAGTTTGGCTGGTGTCTCCTGAGTCAGGTACTCCTTTGGACGCCGGGTCAGATCAGGTGTCTTGTCATTACAGGTATAAATTTTTGTTACTCAGCTTTATTTGGTAACTGTTTTGCAAATTCATTTACCTGTTAAAGGAACATTTATGATTTTTTTTTCAATCCTTCGCCCAAGTGTTGGCTGTCCACTTCTCCAAGTGTAAAAACTTCTTCCTGTCAGTTGTGTTGAGCTTTATGTCTTGTTCTTGTTCCTGGTCCAGCACAGCCTGTAGCCACAGGCTCACAGGTTCTTCCCAAACTGTTGCTGTGAGATAAGCTGGAGTAATGCTGGAGTGGAGCCAACTTGGATTGACATTCCTGGTATGCTCTCCCACCCCCCATTAGGCTTCAAAAAAACTTGGAGCAGGCTAAAAATAGCTGAAAGTGTAGCTGGGAAGCCTGGCAGGTAGGGAGAGCAGCTCCAGGGATAGACCTCAGCTTAGTCACATTCAAATTTTCCTCAAATTCTTGGGGTTATCCTGAGCAGGGCCAGGAGTTGGACTTGGGTGATCCTTGTGAGTCCCTTCCAACTCAGGATATTCCATGATTCAGCACCTCCCCTTTAGAAACCCAGTGGAAGTTTTTCTTTTCCCACTTCTGTCAAGGGGGAAAAAATGGAAATTGGATTATGAGGTTGGGTTTGGTTTTGATATAAATCAGGTGCGTGCAGCGCAGTGTGTAGGTGATGGAAACACTGGTTTTTTGTGTTAAAACAGACCTGTTTTGGTTGTGATCCTGTCCAAGTGGACACTGTTGTGCCCAGGAGAGCTGCTCAGGGCTTGATGTTGCTCCCCGAGCAGGACCGAGCCCCGGCACTGTGGTGACTTGGCACTGACATTCCTTGGGTTTACAGAAAGTCAGCTCATGAAGAGTGAAATCCCTGGAGCTCTGAGTTGCTCTTTCCCTGGCAGCTGATCAGCTTTAGGACCAGGTTCCTTATTCCCGTGTCCCACAGCCGTTGGCACACGGGTGTCTCCGTGCCCCTCTCAGCACGTGGCAGTGACACGGCTCCTTCAGCTCTGAGGTGTTCACACCCAGAATATCCCTGGAGGAAGGACTATTTGAAGTGTACAGTAGACAGTAAATAATTCTAGTTGTGTTGATTAATATAAGGAATGAGTCAGTTCTACAAATTAAAGAAAAAAACCTGAAAAGCGTATTTTGACAAAGCATAGTATTAATTTTAATATTGTAAAAAAAAAAAGGAAAATATCTAAAATATACAGAGAAAAGATGTATATCCAAATGTCTGAGGAGTTTCAAGATAATCTACTTTTGTTTCCTGTTGATTTCTATTCCATGGTGTACATATTGTGTGGATGGAACATTGGCTGTTTTAATACTATTGTTAAATTGTATTTTTATTTTGTGTTAAACTAATCACCACAGACTCAGCTTTATTTTGTTTATGTAAAGGTTGCTATGCTCTGTAGGTATAAACCCGAGAATTCTATTTTAACAGAAAAAGCATTTTATATTATTTATTAAATACATGTTTCTCCAACTTCTGACATTCCACAGAATTTCTGCTCCGTATGCGTATGGAAGTGGCAATTCCTTTCAAGCAGGATCAGCCAGCTTTATTCTGTTTTTCATGATAAAGTGGGAATAGTCTCCCTGAGGATGTGCAGCTCACCCTTGTCTCCCGGCACAGGGACTCGGCTCTGTCAGGACTATCTTGAGGTGGCTCATGAATGCAGAAGCACCGGGAAAGCTCCTGCAGGTCAACCCCTTGATGTGATATTTCTAAATTTCCCCCTTATCTTTCAGCCTTCCAAGAGCAAGTGTTTATTCATATGAGTCTGTGCTAGGTTAATGAGAATCGGTGACCTAAATTGGGGCAAGGAGTCAGCTTGATGTTTGATACAGCTCAGGGAAATGCACAGCTCTAATTCCGAGGGTAAGGAGTGAGCAGAGGGAGAGCCCAGAGCGGTGCTGGAGCTGGAGAACTTGGCATGGGGGCCAGTTGAGGTGTAGGGCAGAGATGGGCTGCAGGCAGCCACAGTCACCAAAATTTACGTACTGGAGATGGATTTGGTGTTTGAGGGTATCACTCGATCCTTAAAAACAGGCCAGAGCCTGCTGAGGCAGCAGTGGTGTCTGTCGGGGGGTCAGGGCCAGGGCAGGACCCTGCTCTGTGTCACATCCCAGGAAGGGAGCAGGCACTCCGAGACCCTGCTGGGACCATCCCTTGGGTGACCCCCATGCTGGACCCCCTCGCTGTGGGTACCACTCCTGGTGTCACTGTGAGAGTTGCTGCCACTGGGCACATCTGTAGAGAACCAACCCCGGCACCTCCTTCCCAGGTGAGGTACAGAAATAGCCCCAAATTCAGCAGATCACCCATTTCCTAAAAATAATTCCAATTGTGAACATGGCCTCTGTGGTTTGAGGAATACTTCAGGTATTACAGCACATGCTTTTAATTGGCAGTGTGGTGGAGCTGAAGGTCTGTAGTGGTCAGGGCTGATCCCCAAGACATCTCTGGGGTGAAATCTGGCATTTTTCTGCTGCTGAAGCCCTCTCCTTGCTGAGGGGCTGCCTGGAGCCAAGGAGAAATCCCTGCTGTGCTTCTGCCATGGGGAGGGATCCCTGCCTCACTCTGGAGCAGTCCCTGCCTTCTTTCCCATTTCACCCTCTCATGCCTGTCTGATCCCACTGGATTTTGGCGTGAGCTGGAGCTGCTCCTGGAGGGAGGTAGAGCCCCATGACGGGTAAGACTGTGCTGGTGCTGGTGCTATTGTGGCTCGTTAGTGTCACCCCCCGAAAGGGGACACAGTGGGGACAGCACTGAGCCTGGTGTTGCTGGCCTGAGGTGTGTCCAGGCAGGGCTTTGATAGAAAACCTGGGGACAGGTGCAGGAAGGTGGTTGTTCAGAGTCAGGGTTTGTCCGGGTTTGTTTGGCACAATGTGTTCCAAGACTGGAAAAGGAGATGGACCGGGGTGAGGTACGGGCTGGGAAGAGACTTTCCTGGCTGTAGCAGGGATTTTCTCCTCGGAGGAAGGGAGAGAGCAGGTGAGATGGCACATAAAAATGAGTCTGAAAAACAGAATAAAGCAGGAGCATCCTTGGAGAGGGGATTTGTGAGCACTTGCAGTGCCTCATTCGGTCCTTCAAAACAAAAAGGAGCAGATTCACACGAACAGCTACTCATGATGAGGGAAATGATCGAAAGAGAACCTGTCCAAAATGTGTAATTAATGGTAAGCAAAGCCAGGATCTGTAAATAACTTTAGATATTGTATCGATGAGATCATTCCTTGTTTTATGTACTTGGCTCTTTCCATATTTATTGTGGGGAGGAGGGTCCCTGTGCCGGGTGAGCTGTGGCACGTCCCTCGGGCTCCTCACGGACTGTCCTCGGAGTTTACAGCCCTCGCCCGTCGTGGCGGATGTGCCACACTCGGTTCTTTCCGCCAGTATTTTTTTAACGGATTATTTTGGCACAGCTAAGCTGCTTCTGTGTGTTGGTCAGTACAACTGCTCTCCTACGACCAGACCCCAATAAAAACCGTCCTTTGCGTGTGTGCTGGTGCCTGGTTCTTTCAGTGTCACCTGCCCCTTCCCGCTGGACTGGGACGGGCTGTGCCAGGATGTGCTGGGCTGTGCCAGCTGCTCACAGGGCACTGCTGGACTGACCCCTGTGCCCCATCACCCCGGCTGCCCCGCACACAGGTAAGTCCCTTTGCTCACCCCCATTCCTGCACATGGTGTTTACCCTCATTTCCCCTGCCTAGGGACATGCTGGTTGTGTCCTGATGGTGGGACGGTGCTCGCTGTGCCAGGAGGGCCCTGGGGTGATCCTCAGCCCTGTGTCAGGGGTCCCTGGCAGGGACTGGGAGGTGGGTGATGGGTGACCAATGGTGGCTTTCCACTAGTGCTGGAGGGACCCCCAGGAGCAGACAGGCTGCCCCATGGCTGCACTGCCATCCGGGACCATGTGACAGACCATTCAAAACCGTGTGTCCTCCTGCCGTTCCTGGGTGTAATTGGGGCTGGTGAGATGCTTGGAGCAACCCTTAGTTTCCTGCCAGGTCAGTCCTGCCAGGTGAGTCCAGACTGACAATCCCATTTCCTTTCTCATTAACAGAGCTTTTCCAGCTGATGCCCTGGGCATGTCTGTGGACCTTTTCAGGTCAGATGTCGAGCGCCTGAGGGAGAGTTACACTTCTGCAGCTGGACTTGGCCTGAGCCAGGGCCCTGCACCCTGACTGGGGGTCACACTCTGTCCTGTGTGGTCACCACATGTCCACTCTGCTGACCCCCTCCCACCTGCCTTGTTTGGGTGCTGACCATGCTGGTGTTAGTGCCAGGGGCTATTTTGAGCTCTTCTCTCAGGTCCCTCTCCAGCTCAGCCCCATCTCAGGGTGGGGACTGGTGGGGAGAACTGGGGTGCTCTGGGGAGCCCCGTGCTGGAGCTCTGAGCCATGATCTTTGGGGATCACCCTGGGGTCCACTCCTGCAGCAGCAGAGCACCCCGGGTGGGCTCATGCCAAGCCACAGAGGTTCTCCCACTTCTGTGGGTTGCAAAAGTGTGCACCAGGGAAGGCACAAACAGCGTGTCAGGGAGGGCACGGGTGACACACGTGTGTTCCAGCCGGTGCAGAGGCCAAGGAACAGGGGAGCCCCGCTGTGCCACTGCCTCTCCCCAGTCGCGGCCCCGGTGCCACCGCCGCGGGTATTTTTAGCAGTGACATGTGTTACCTCAGCTGCCACCGCGGCGGGGGCGGGGGAGGCGTGCGCTGACCCTCCGCCGCTCCCCGCACGCCGCTGTCGCTCTCTCGCGGAGCCCGGTGCCGGCGAGGGCCGACAGCCCCCCGCGCCCGCAGCCCCCGCCAGGTACGGGGGCCCTGGGGGGACCTGGGGGTGGGGGTCGGGGTCCGGACGGGCTCTCTGGGTGCGCGGGGCCGTGGGGCCCTCGGCCGGGAGGGTTATTTTTAGTTGGGAATGGATGGCGATAGCGGCAGCCCCGGCTTCGGGGGCGGCTTCCAGGCACGAGGCTGTGCTGGGGAGAGGCTGCGATGGGAGAGGGGTTGGGGACGGAGACGGTGCTCCCTGCCCTGTGCAGGAGGTGGCCAGGGATCCCTCAGTGGCCTTGGCTCTTGGCACCTACCGGGATGGCAGTGGGAGCGAGTCCCAAACGGGGACCAGACCCAAATGGCCACGGCCCAACTGGGGCCACATCCTGCACCTGGATGGGGACAGAAGAGGGGTGGTGATGGTGGTCCCGGCCTTTGTTGGTGCCATGCTTTGTGCTTGGTCCCCTCCGTGCTCGGTTTCCCCACGTACAGGGCAGGACGGAGGGTCCGCTCGGGGAGGTGACGGTGCCCGGCCACAGCCACCTTCCGGGCTCTGCCGGCGCCGCTCGGGGCCGGTTCTCCCCGGGGCCAAAGAGCCCCGGGTGAGTGGGACAGGGTGGGGGGCAGCGCCGGTCGCGGAGGGCACGTGGCCCTGGGGGCTGCCGCCCGGGAACGCAAGCGACATTCCTGAGCCGGCTCCTGGCCGCTCCGGAGCTCCTGCTCTTTTTACTGTACAAGGAGATGCGGCCGCCGGCAGGGCCGGGCGAGCCCCGGCGCTCTCGGGGCGTGAATGATCCCGACAGGTGAAGCCGGGGTCAGCCCGCGGTGGGGCACGGCCGGGCTCCCTCGGCCGCCCAGCCTGAGCCGGGGGGTCCCACCACCGACCCTCTGTGCTGCCACCTCCCCACGCTGCCTGGCCCTCGCCGGGGCTGGAGGTGGCTGCTGGTGGCAGTGCACTCTCCAGCACTGCCGCACCACCCATCCCCTTGTGCCCGAGCTGCCACGCTCCAGTCGGTGCTGTGAGCTCTGGTTGGGCAACCCCCAGCAAGGTCACTGTGCTGCCGGCCCGACATAGCTTGTGGCACAGCCCTGGGGCCAGCAGCAGCCCCTGGCTAACTCTCTCCTCTCTCTCTGCCTGGCGTGTCACCACGTCTCTCCCCACAGCACCGTCCAGCCTCGCTGCCACCATGGCCATCTCCTCGCGCCTCGCGCTCTGGGAGCAGAAGGAAAGTCTCGGTCCGGGGTGGCACCGGTGGTGTTTTGGGGCTGGGTGCTCGTGCCTTCCCGGGGGCTCAGTCCTGGGGGGGATTGCACTGCAGCAGCCTCTGGGGTTGCATCCCCACAGCTCCCTGCACACTTTGCTCCTGCTGTGTCCAACTCTGCTGGCTCCAGGCTCCTTCACAGCCTGATTGTTTTGGTTTGGGTGATTTTGCTGCTGTTGGATGCACAAGGGTCCCTGCCTGTCTGAGCCTGGCTGAGGCTGCAGGGTTTGGTGCTGGTGCTGCTGAGCAGGGCTGTGGCTGGGAAAGCTGTGGGAAGTGGGGCTGGTTTTGGCCTGGGGCCTGGCACATAGGGATGGCCCTGCAGGGCTGCATGTGGCCATGGTGACTCTGGAGCTGCTTCTTGACTCACTGCAGCCAGGACAGATCCTCCTGTGGCCGTGCTGGGGCAGAGATGGCAGTGCACGTGGGCTCCTGCTGCACCAGCCCTCGGTGGCTGTGGAAATCCAGGTGCTTCTCTGTGGGCTTTTGTACTCAGTGCTTCTGCTAGCCACAGCATACCCGAACCAGCCTGGTGCCCACGGGTGGCCTGTGGCCTCGCTGGGAGCCTGGGCAATGCCTGCAGCCACTGGCAGAGCAGAGCAGAGTGCTGTTCTCAGCTCCATTGCCACTAACGTGCCCACGGGGCTGTGCTGTGCCTTGTCCCCGTGCCCACCCCGTAACCCACCTCTGCTCCTGTGAACAGATACGGGACGAGGACCGGGGGCCGCCCCCATCCACACCCCCCCTGCTCCTGTCGGTCATCCCTGGGGGGTTCATCAAACAGCTCGTGCGGGAGACCGAGAAGGAGGCCAAGGCAGCGAGACAGAGGAAGGAGAGCAAGGCGAGCGGGAAGGAGGAGGTGAGTGGTGGTGAACTCCACACTGCACCAGGGTGTCCTGCTGGGCCACTGTCCCTGTGTCCCTGGGTGTCCCCAGCTGTCCCCAGCTCAGAGAAGTTCCCTGGGGGCTGAGGGGCTGGGTGGCCCCACGACACTGGCCAGAGTCAGGAATCTGAGGGTGTTTTGCATGAGCTGGGCTGGACAGCAAGGCCCAGGCTTGCAGTGTGGTGGCTGCAGCAAGCTGCAACCCCACCCAGCTCCCAGCCTCGAGCAATTAATGCTGGAGAGTTCCTTAATGCAACTTGCCATTCTTGACCTGCTTAATTGGAAGGTGAGTAATTAAGCAGAGTGTGAGGCTCTCTGGTTCAGTGAAGAGTGCAGGAAGGGGAGCACGTGGGGCATCTCCAGGAACAGCACCAAGCAATGACCCAGAACGTGGCGGGTGGAGGGTCGGGATGTGGCCAAGGGGGAGGAGGACGCCACCACTGATTGCCACCCTGCAGCCAGGTCCAAGAAGCCACCCACAGCCATTGGCTGTGCCCAGAGAGAGCAGGTTGGGGCTAGAGCTCCGTACAGGGCTAGGGCTGTATGTGGCATGGTCAAACCACGTGGGGTTGCAGCTCCCAGGGCTGGGCTGAGGTTGGGTTCTTTGCCCTGTCCCTGTCAGATTCAACTCCTCTCCTTTGCTTGGCAGCCCGTGGGGAAGGACGGTGAGGCCCGAACCAGGGACGCCCCAGCTGCCAGAGGAGGGGGGGCCAGTGAGGAGCCACTGCGGAACGGGCTGAAGGTAGAGGGGCAGGGGGGCAAGGGGGTCACAGCCCCCCCATGCAAGGAGCTGCCCCCTGAAAAAGCTGCACCGGGGACCATCCCCAGAAAAACTCCATCCCCTGCACCCAGCCTGGCAGTGGCTGCCCTCAAACCAGCAGAGACAACCTCAAAACTAGCAGAGATCCCCCGCAAATCAGTGGTGGCATCCTCAAAACCAGCAGAAACATCCCCCAAACCAGCAGAAACGTCCCCAAAACCAGCAGGAACGTCCCCAAAACCAGCAGAGACCCCTCGCAAACCAGAGACAGCATCCCCCAAACCAGCAGAGGCTTCCTCCAAACCAACGAAGATCCCTCCCAAACCAGCAGAGACCCCTCGTCTGGAGGTTCCCAAGGTGGCAAAGCTGTTGTGCCCTGAGAAGAGCCCCAAGGACACCCAGCAAGGGGGCAACCCCCCAGCTCCAACCCCTGCCTCCAGCCAGGGCCCCCAGCGTGGCAGCAAAGTCCCACCAAAGGAGGGGGACTCATCCAAGGGGACAGACCCCAAGAGCACCAAGAAGGAGAAGGGGACACCCCCAAGGCACGAGGAGACCCCAGCCAAGGTGAGAGCCCAGAGGGAGCTGTTTCCAGCCAAGAAAGAGCTGGAGAAGATGAAGAAAGATGTTGGAGGTAGCAAGAAGGAGCCAAGGGAATTCAAAAAGCCTGAAAAAAACACAAACAAGTCAGAGGAGCTCAAGGGGGAGCCGGGAGGAATCCAAGAGAAGTCCAAAGATGTGGGAAAGGAAGTGAGGAAGGTGAAGGAAGAGCTCGGAAAGGGTGAAGAGATGCTGAGAGAGAGCAAAGGGATGGACAAGAGCACTGA